CCTGCAGGCCCGTCCTCTCCGGAAAAACGTACCTAAGTACAGAAACTCCCAAAGGACGGAAAAAAGCGTTTCATTGGCCCTGTCCTCAGAAAAATTGTCCTCAGAAACATGCCTCCTGTCCTTACAACATGAAAAATGTACTTAGGGACGTTTGCCGTGTACTTCGAGCCTCAAACTCTGAGTTTCGCAACAGTTCGTGGCAGAATCATAGCCGAAAACACAGTTGATTCAGGGAAACACTTGAAGATGCATCAGGATGTAGTAGTGTCCGGATGATTCAAAACTAAAACGCATCCGGTTCGTTGGTTTCTGGCAGATTTCTTGCAAAAAACGTGCTCTATGTGCATTGTGTATATATGCATATACTATAGTATATATGATTTTTTGTATATGTATGCATGTGTAGATACATGTGTGTGCACACATATATGTGTATACCACACATACGTACCTATAATAATTAAATACCTACGTACATACGTACATATACACACATACATACATCACCGCACGCGTGTGTGTGTGTGTGTGNNCTTGGTTGGTCATTGGCACGCGATCGACCGCATGGCCATTCCGGCTTGTTGTGTGAGTTCCCGTAGATGTGCGATTTGCGTGCTTCAGCGGTTCCGCGCTTTCCGTTCAGACATATAATCATGTCGAGCGACAGGTACGAGAGGTTGGCGAGTTTTCTGCTTGACGAGTCAAAGATAGATCCGCCGGGAGTAAGTGAGCAGGAGCCACCGTCGTCTCTAGCTGCAAGCAGCAAACGAAAACTAGATGAAATCGAAGGTCCCCCGCCAAGTAACACATCCGGTTGTTTGGTCCATGGCTCCCCTGCAAGTCATAATGCTTGGCGTTGGAAAGTTGGACAGCATGATCGGACTTTGCTAGATATTCCTAGGCTTCATGATGTCATGCAGAGTTTGAATGAAAGCGCAGGTCATCGTTTTGATCTTCGATTGGCCAAAAGTAAGCTTGCTTCGGTTGTGCTCCAGCACTGTGTTGCGATCGTGGCTGGTCTTTCAGCACAAGGTGTAAGGTTTAAGGTGGGTATCACCAGTGATCCTGGGCACAGGTGGTTCAATCCCTCCTATGGGTACGGAACAGAGGCTAAATATGTGCGTATGCTTCTCATAGCGATCGTGAGAACCATGGAAGCAGCTACATACATCGAAGCTGCATTGATCAGAGAGTTCAGAAGTAGTCATCTTTGTGACAACGAAGCTCCCGGCGGTGAGGGTGCAATGTTGGATGCCTCGCCAGGGTTTGTGTATGTGGTGCGTTCGGATTTCGGCTTAGGCATGCACGGGGCAGCTGAATCTTCGGCGAAATGATAGGCGAAAACTTCGTTTCACAGAATTCATACAATAATACTAAGGGTTATATATTTGGACCTGGATTTTGCAGCTCCTGCGTGCGAGGGTGCAGTTTGTGCATGGGGTCTTACGGTCCGGTGCATGTTTGAAGTGCCTTCCGAGCTGCGCTGCTTTGCTTGAGTTTGCCTGCCTGCTGCTGTGCCATGGCGCTGTCGAGAGTGGCACGCAATCTGTCGCTGACTGGGTTTGACGCAAAACTCGTGGATGCCTGGTCGGGGATCGAGTCGGCACAGGACACTGCGGTTTCGTTCTTGCTGGTATTTACAGTCTGTGTGTGATCCGAATTCAATATTTTGGTCGCGGGTTCCTTACGTGATAAAAGGAGCAGTTCGTGGTGATGGATATCGGAGATCTCCATCATGATGGTGTCGATGCTTTGGACGCCGAGAAGCGCAACAAGTTGCTTCAAGACAACTTGGCTCTGGTGACAGCGTGTCCCAGCTTTAAAAAAGCATGTCACATGCATGGGTGCCTTGAGTATGATTGTGCGGTTTGAGTTTCGCCTGCTGTGCATGCTGGGTCCAAGGACGTTGCACATGTGCAACGGCCTCGAGAGACAGTTCTCTGTGGATGAGCTGGACGTTTGCATCTGCAAAAAATATGGAGATACTAGGCGTCCCATTTTATGTAATGTGTTGCGTCGTTCTTATCTTTTGTGTGCTGCAGAGTTCGCTTGCTACTTCCTGTTCCTTCAATAAGCGTTAATTGTGCAATCCTGCCTTGTCTCAGGAAGCGGCGGACAAGGAGTTGTCGCACAGCCAGGCCGCGACTTTGAAGGGTTTGGCTGCTGAGCTGCACACTCATTTTGTCTGGATATCTACGATTAATGGTCGCTCGATCTTATCTGATCTGTGCTACGTGCTAGCAAAAGCGAGGCAGCTCATGTGATCCGGGAAGCGAAGAAAACCCGAAAATCTCGGACAGCGTGGATGGGTAAGCTGAAGGCGACTCAAGCCGCATGAGTATCAACTGCCGATAGAGCCACCTCTCATTTTTTTCGCTAGGCCATCCCCAGCGACAAGCTTATCGAGCGAAAGCCCGCGAAGAAGAAGAATGATGGAGATGATGCAGTTGATGCTGCTGAGCCCGGGCAAGGAGACATGGTCATGATGTTTACATGGGTCATTTGGGCGATTCTCTCCCTCTCTCGCCCTCCCGCTGCATGGCCCTCCCTACTTTGTGTCGGTCGCAGGATCTGGCGTGCATGTTCCGAATCCTGACGAGATGGAAACATTACCCTGCACATGGCCAGGACTGCCGATGCCTGCAATCACAGCGCCTGCTTGCTTGGGGGCTATTACGGATGAGCTTGCTGTGTTGGCGCCTACATGTCATTTTGATCCACGAGATCAGCACAAAGCCAGATTCAAGAGTTTGCTTCAGCAGAAGAAGGGCAAAAACAGTGGAAGTGCCCCAGCTAGTATTGGTAGATCGAGGCAGTTATATAATAGGTGCGTTTCCTACGGAAACTAAAATACAATCTTCGCAGCTTATCGTGAAATCACGCTGCGCAGGAGCCGATGATGATGTTGCGGGAGGCCCAGCGCCTCAGCCTGAAACGGGCGGGCCTGCAGCTGCTCCTGCCGAGCCAGGCCGATAACCCTAAAACCCTAAACCCTAAACCCTGTAGAGGGTCAGAACAAAGCTTTAAAACATAGGCTGTTGATTTCAATATTCCGGGTTGCAAGCTGGCTGGGCCATGGCTGTAACTAACGACGTATGCGGGCTTCCATATTGACATCTTTAAACCTACTTATTGTTTGGCCGAGCTTATCCTCTTGGCATGGAAATGGTCTCTTGCTCTTTCTTAGTGTGCTTGCACTCAAACATTGTGCCTCTAATCGTTTGCATATGGTCCGTATACACCTAGATCACTATACAACTTCTTCTATGGGCTTGATATGGGCAAAAAATAGGCCTACGAGAAATATGAGGGTGTATATATTCATATATTTGTATAGGTTTCAAAGGGTTCATTATATGGGGCTTATTATAAATAGATAGATAGATTGATTGATTGATTGACGATGGAAAAAGATAGACGGATAGATCGATCGAACGAGAAAGATAGATAGATAATCACATAGTGGGTTACATGTATATTTGTATAGGGCTGCATGTCGGTCTGGTTCATAGCTGCGGTGTAGAATGTTCCCAAAGGGGCGCTTTATCGGGGTTCAGGCTTTATTACTTTTGGTACTTTCTAGGAGTAAATATTTCTGCCTTGGCCCTGCGTGCGCAGGCGATGACGCCGATGACGATGCCGAGGGTGCAGGCCGCCGCTCCAACGAGTTTCTGGATAGTGTGTGACAGTGTCCTTTGAACCTGGATACGAGATTGTCTTATTATGTTGCGAGGCAATGGATTGCAAGCCGATGATCCCGATGCTGAAGATGCTGCTAGACAATAAGTCTTATCTTCCTACAGTGCATCTTGTCATGTATTTTTCGCAAAAGCAAACCCGAGGGGGACGCTAAAGATGAGGACGAGCCTGAGGCGGAAGCCGCGGAGGCCGTTGTCACCGCACGGTTGGCACTCTAGCCTGTTAAGAACAAAACTGCATTGTTTCGATGCATACATCCTGATCAGTGGCTGGAGCCACAGGACAAGAAGAAAAAAAGGCGGAACACCAATGGCCCGATGTGGCTGGCCTACCAGGGGTTCATGAAGCCGGTGTCTCAGTACGTTGGTTGATGTGTTCCCCACGTTGCAGTAGTACGTTTACATGCGTAGGGCCAAACCACAAAAACTTGAAATAAATGTGCCGCTGCAGGCTTGCGAAGGAGCAGCACGGCATCGGGCAGGTGGTTCCTCAGCTCGTTATGGTGCCAGGGCATGTGCCGTGCCAAACACCCGTGGGATTTAGCTGCTGCAGTATGTCTTGTTTATCGACTCAGGAGGGCAATCGTCTTTGGAAACTTTCCAACATTCGTGCGACTCTTGGCTCAACATGTATGTGAACTCTACAAAACCAGGTTGCCTATATCGCCCTGATGAAATCGGGGTGTCGCGATGCTTTGGGCCAGGGTTCCGGTTATACGGGCAAATAATTCTTCTGGGTCTGACGATGGTACTTAAATTGCGTTATCGTGTATATATGTTATTATATTTATATGTCGCAATGGATGGATGGATAGACGGGTGGGTCCATGGTTAATATCAAGTTCGCCGGGTTCAAGATAAGGGGCTCTAGCAGTATCGAGCGCCGGGCTCATGCATGGCAGTGTTGATGGGCCGGCGGGGGGATTGCTCGGGCAGTTAGGTGTGAAATGTCGAGCTTTGGGGGTTTACGGTTTCGGTGGGATCTTTAATCAAGGGCATCCTATACAAACCCTTATAATTCAGTAGTTGATCTGCATGAGCCCTTGAACACCCTTGGGTTACGGGTGCTTAGATACAGATTCCGTGCCCATATGAGCTTGCGCACCATCACATATTGACCCTTGCATGGACCCTGTCGGCAGGGCCCTGATCGAGCAAATGCCGCCGGACGAGCGCAAGAAAAGGCGATTCGAGTGAAGATCGGTGCCGCGACTATTTCTTTGGAAATGTGACTTGGTCGCTGCAAGCAAGCAATTCAGTGGCCGTATCGACGCCCCGACTATTTCTTTGGAGATGTGTCTTGGCCGCTGCAAGCAATTAAGTGGCCGTATCGACGCCACGACTTTCTTTGGAGATGTGTCTTGGTCGCTGCAAAAGATTCGGCCTGCAGCAAAGTGTCTATGCTTGCAGCAGGGCAGGGAGTCTTCAGCAGGACGATCGGGAAACACTCATGTTTGCTGTCGCCGCCTGCGACAATTGACTCATGCGTGCAGAGCTCCAGGCATTGCGGTGCTCCACAACATGCTGCATGCAGCTGTGCATGCAAGGATCAAGTGCCGCATGAGTTTCGCTTGAGAAGCTATCTGCAGATACCGATATCCGTCTGCAAATAAGATCCCTGAACAATTTGCGATGTAGACGGTCCGGCTTACTACTTGTTGCACATCTTAATTTTGACTGAGCTGCCATGAACGGGCCGCGACCACTGGTTCAGAATCTTCTGGACCATGGAGTGCGCCTTGATCGGTACCAATATGTTGCAATTCTGAATGTTTAAGACTGTGCTATATACGTTCCCTACCCTGCATGGGTCTTCCAACATCTCAGGCCGAGGGCCATGATCGTGATCCTCTTCCTCATGTGCTTTATGCGTGGCTTTGTGCCTTGCCCAAATTCAGTGGCCAATAATTCAATCACGTACACACTCCAAAGCATAAAGCCTTCCCAGTAATAGCACAAAAGTACCAGCCCAAAAAAAAA